GGCAAACGTAGTGTAGCTGCGGGGCGCAGCTAGGTGGAGCGACGACTTACGTAGGGTTGCGGGTAGTAACTGGATGAGAAGGGCTGAAGATCGTGCCCAGTGGCGTGCCTTGGGAGAGGCTTATGTCCAGCAGTGGACTGCAGTGGGCTGATGATGATGATGATGATGATGATAGTAAAATTTGCACACCAAAGTTAATTTTCATATTATATTTAAAAATAATAATGTCTTTTCACAACTTTTCCTTCATTATTTGAATCCAACATGACAGTTGCGGATCTAAAGTTATCTCTTCATCCAATTAATAATAATAATCTCAGGACAATTCACGCAGCGCCATCTAGACCAAAGTTAAGCTAGCTAAGTCTTGTGTTATGGGTACTAGATAACTGATACATATAAATAGTTATTTTTTTTGTAAATACATACATATTATACATAGAAAACACCCAGACCGATACAAACAATCATACTTATGAATACCAATGTTTGTGCCGTGCGAGGAATCGAACCCGCGACCATCGGTCGTAAAGCGGTATGCTAGACCGCTAGGCCACCGAAGTCGTCAAATTATTCCCTTCAATTAATTTCAATTTATTCCCTTCAATCCTTTATCCGTCCAATTCAAACGAGGATTGAAATTGCGGCCTGAGGCGAAGGTCGAAAGCCTAGATGTAGCTAGACTAGTCGTATCCGTCAGGCAAGAGTACGTCTGAGCCGCTCCATGTCCTTCCGCGAGCTTGGAGTAGCTGTGAAGGCCAGCTGCAACTAATAAATATACAATAGTCGAACTATTATAAAAAGAAAATTCTATTGAATCGGTGCTTCCATCACCGGATATTGAAACAGAAGTGTAAATGAACAAGTAGGTTTTTGGTAGTAAACATATTCGTACTTACGTCCTTATGGTCTATGTAAGTTATTAGTAAAGCACTTGGTCGTGACGCTTTCATTCTTTAACCTTATCCGTCTGGACGGTGTCCATTAGCATCGTCTATGCCAACCTTAAGGGCTAAATAGAAATAGACAAGGAACTGGTAACGCTCCGGGAGTAGAGGTTGCATAATCTGTGATCACCATAACTTATGGCCTGTAACTATTACTTAGTTGCCTGTTAAACATGTCCAAACATCGGTCCTTCATTGTGCGCCTGCCTCTAATTGTAACATCAAACATGCAAGTCACAGACAAAATTAATATAACACGATATGATAAGGTGGATATACCTCATCGTAAATATAGTATGTTGGTAAAAGTTGACTGAATAATTTTTGGAAGTTCCGAATACGAATAATTTCACGACCTCGGTGGTCTAGCGGTCTAGCACACCGCTTTACATCCGATGGTCGCGGGTTCGATTCCTCGCACGGTACAAACATTTGTATTCATGAGTACGATTGTTTGGAAAATTCCGTCACATTTTCACGGCACAAATCCCTCAATGTTTGAAGACAAAAGTCTTTAACAAATGCATTCTCCCTGCAATGACTTACGGTGCAGAAACATGAACACTGACCGTAGGCCTACTTTATAAATTAAAAGTCGCACAGCGGGCGATGGAGAAAGCTATGTTCGTTTCTCTAACCAGAACCAAAGTGGACGACATAGCTCTCAACGTATGTCAGCTGAAGTGGCAGTGCGCCGGTCATATCAGCAGAGTCAGCGATGATAGATGGGGAGGAAAGGTTATGGAGAGGAGGCCGCGTATGGGTTGATGGTGTGTCGGGCGCCCTCCTGCAAAATGGACCGACGACATTATAAAGGTGGCCGGGACTGGATGGATGCGGAAGGCGGAAGAGCGCACATGGTGGAAGTCTTTGGGAAAGGCCTATGTCCAACAGTGGACAGACACAGGCGGTGATGGTGACGATGATTGTTTGTATCCGTCTGGGTGTTTTCTATGTATAATATATATATATTTACGAAAAAAAAATTATCTATGTATTTGTATCAGTTGTCTTGTACCAAAACACAAGCTTTAGCTAGCTTAACTTGGGTCTAGATGGTGCTGTATTAATTGTCCTGAGATTATTATTATTAATACGGTGTTTGATGCATGACGGTAGACTCATCTCGTCTTGTGTTTTTTTTTTTTCATCTTGTGTTAAGATTATTCACTTAAATACGTTAAAATAAATATGGGCATGTTTATAAGTATTTAATTTTTCTTATACAGTAAACAATTATAACATAATAATAAATAAATATGTAATATTTTTTCTCCCACGTAAATTGAAATCGTGGTAAAATTATTAAGCGATAGATAGTACTTGGTAAAAATAAGACCAAATCAGGTGGCATGCTAATGAAAAATGAACTTTTTTACACAGAAATGAAGTGGGAATCTTAAACTAAATCTTAGATCCTCCAATCTAAACGAGAGCATTACAAGAGTTTGTAAATTATTTTCAAATTTATTGATTACTTCATTTGGAATATTATTTAATCATGAAAACTATCTCTTAATTCTAGCTTGGTATATTCAGTATTGAGGATTTTGTCTTCCTTTATTCCTTGTTCCTTCTTAATGGACAGTGTTTTACCTGAAATAGCTTAGTACTTTTGTAACTAATCTTCCCGGCCTAAAAAGACAATATCAGGATTTTGGATACTGGCCAATAAAACACACCTGTTGTTCATAAACCAACACAACAATAGGTATATTTTCTTTTATAACCATTATTGCCTTTATTTCATCCTATCATTTTGGGTCGGAGCGGTGTCATCTTCTACTATCCTCATCGATCGCCATATCAAAGTTTAGTTTAGTTACTACCCTTCTTTTATGTATATCATCTTTTGCACAGTGCTTCTATGCCTTTTCGGTTCTCCTTTCTTTTTACAGTAAGTACTAAATTCGTCCACGTTCATAGTCAGTACTATATCTTCTTTTATACTTGTAGAATAGCAATATTTGACATTAGCAGATATTTAATACGTACGTGTGCTATTTGGAGTAATAACAGATTATAAGTATTTTATTTACAAACTGGACCACCACTTTCAACCAACGCGTGGAAATCAGTGATAAATAAGATTAAACAAAATTCAATAGCATCAGCCAATAATGTAGGATACCGTGACTGTTGTGTCGCGAATATACACAATCAAGTGACGGTAGTTGAAAAAACTGTTGGCACCTACAGATATTGACATCGCTGTACCTCAGACAGTTCGTGACCACGGCTAGTGTAACCTAATTGGAATGCTGAGAGAGGTAAATATCTCTATCTACCATAAAATTGTTAGTGTTGAGAACGGATTATAATATTAATATTTGCTCAATTGTTATTAAAATGTTATTGCAATTGTTGAAAAGATTTTTGCTAAACGACTTCAAACTTTGACCTGCTAATTGTATCGTTAATGCATTAGTGTTATGTTGTAAAATTGAGATCAACGGTATTGGTGGTATTAGATATAGGTATATGTTGTTAATTATGAAGTTTACATTGCATGCACTATCTATTGCAATAAACAAAATATCAACCGAGTGCTTAGGAAGATTTAGATTTCATCAGTAAAAACTGAATTCAAATTGCTTACGATTTTGAATAAGCCTATATGTTTTGGACTTCAGTAACTGTTGGAAACTCTTTTATAAACGTTTTTTATTGTATATATTTTTTATAAACAATATATTATTTTTATATAACAAGTCTAATAAAATATTGTACGCGTTGTTTTTTATATTGTTTTTCATGAATTATTCTCAACCATCATCATCTGCTTCTTCCTTAACCCATTTATTTGGGGTCGGCGTAATATGTTTTTCTCTGATTTAATAAACAGAAGGAAGTCCTCAATTTGACTGTATTTTGTTTTATGCACATGTGTTACCTCAAAATATTTGTATATGTGAAACAATTTTTAAAATATTTTTTTTTAACAATTTATGTGTTTATGAGTTATCCTTACTAATGCGATTGGACTTGGTTTTACGTATAATTATGATCTTTATACGAATAATTTTTATTATTATGAAAACTATTCAATACACAGACATGGTTTGTGTACGATTACATTATTGTACTATTTTAAATTCCTAAAAAAAAGTATCTAACTAATTCCAAAGAGAAAAACAATGTCTGTCGTGTTATATATGTACTATGTAAAATTTTATATATTATTATATTCATAGTATTCACTCATGCCATCACAATCTCATGTATTTATCTATGAAAATATAAGTGCCAAGATTTTTTGTACTTTTGACTAGCATATACAAAAAATCGAAATGTACCCCTGATACTCCAATTTCATCTATTATATCTACATAGTTATTCATAAAAATGGGACAGACGTCGAAAGCCAACGACAGGTCATAAAACTCGAATTTCCCGTAGAAGTTTCCTAATATTGAAAATTGAATGTAATTTTTAGTCTTCCATTAATATGCGTGGTCACGTGATCAATTTGGTGCGAAAAGTGCAACGTTTAGTTTCAGATTTCCACCATGTTTCTTGGTGAAGGTAGTTCACTATCAAGTGCATTTCCTTTTCCAGCTTTCAGCTGATTATACCCTTTATAATACATATATATATATATATATACATAATATTGTCTATATCAATGTACAGATGTCAATAAGAGAATATTTAAACGAATGACAGTTATACGTAGTAATATATATTTTTTCGAATCAACAACTATATACATATTTACATCGACTTATATATACTCGCGTATATAAAAACGAGTATAAAAGGAACATCCAAAGGTTTCTTCCATTATTTAAAATCGTAGGTTGCATCCTGTATTTTCGAACGATGGCGTAACTGTCATCTCATTCCTACTAGTCCAAAGCACCGCTACCTCACTAATGTTAGAAATCTGGATCAAATCACTCAGTATATAATTTTTATTTATTTATCATAACCGATATAAAGTTATATCTGATACTTATTTATATATAGAACACTGATTACAATATTAAAAATAAAAAAGTGACATTCGATATTTAAAATTACATCCAGAAGAATAAAAACTACTAAAAGAACATGGATATACGTAGTGTTATGGTAGTTTTTATATATTTGATTATAGCCGAGTGTAATACCGTTTTTGATTTATCGAGGAATCATTGTCCTAACACTAAGGCACCTATAAGTATAGTAAGGAAAAGAAGACATCTAACATTTCCAGCTGGAAGTAATGCTGTTGTGAGTAAATCACTTTACTTTTACGACTCTTCGACTACAGAATGTAAGAAATAACTCGGGCGACATATAATAGTTATTAATTAAAACTTAAATAAATTTACAATTTTTATTTCTTTATTTAATTATAATAAAATCAATACAAATAGAAATATATCTAAGAGTATACCAACATAATATTTATACAAAGACAATTAGTATTTTTAAAAATATAACAGTATTTTAGGAATATTAATGATATTTTACATTTTACTAATCATATTGAATGTTCATATGCCAATTAATAATCTTCTCAGATAGTAAATAAATAAATAAAGTAATATATATAATATATAGGATGATCAGAAATAACTCTTTCAAAAATATTCATGTATGGTTTTATAAACATACTTACAGTCGTATAATTACTTGTTACAGTATATCCCGATCGAGTACTCGTATAGAGTGAAGTATATTATAAGACATATAATGTCAATAGTTGCGTATATCTATTTTAACAGATATGTTGTCTTTTTTAATATATTTTTTGTCTAGTTTATAAATTTTTAAATTCAGTGGACGTAATAAAAGTGTCAATGTTTCACAGTTAGCCATGTATTATGAACGATGTTGGTTCAGGTGTATTTCTATTCGCTAAAAATAAAATTTTGATATTCGCGTTTCTCCATATAGTTTGCTTTTATTTATAAACTCAAAAAGTATGTTCGCAGTTACAAAACATATTTTTGTAATTTAAGCAAACCTACTTTTTGAGTTTATATATAAAAATAACTCGGTACCACTTAACAGAACTTAACTTTGTTTTTGGTTTAAATAAATAATTTAATTATTTAGTACTATTACGGTAAACAAACTGTTATAGATATTTTATATATATTTATGATTGTACTAGATACATAATACCAGTAGGAAATAATAATAATCACCATCGATACAAACTAATGTACTTATAAATATAACAAAAATACAAACCAAATACTATTTGGTTCAAACTCGTTCCCTTCATAAAGTAATACGGTATTCTAAATTATTTCATATTTAATATCTAATATACATATATATATACATACATATCTTGATATTTAAGACTGGTATTCTAAATCTGTTATCGCCGATATCTTATATCCGATACATATCTTGTTACTTTATTCTTTTTTTTATTTTTCAGACTTACAGCTATTTTTATAGGTCTTAGCTTATACAATAGTGTAACAAACATTTTTTTAAAATTATTTGTAGCTTATCATCATTATCATCATCATCATTATTACATAGTATAAAATAAAGTTGCTGTCGTTGTCTGTCCGTCCCTATGTATGGTTAAATTTTCTAAACTACGCAACATAATATTTTGAATCGGTTTTTTTAATAGATAATGTGATTCTAAAGGAAGGTTTATACATATATTACATATGCGAAGCCGGGGCGAATAGCCAGTAATAGATAAAGCGATCTTCGTGAATTCATTCTTTTACTTAAGACAGTTTATTGTATATCTGCAGATCACGATATCACTTGCGAAAACTTTTCTGACGCACATACCGTCTGGATGGTATATGACCACAGACTTAAATGTCATGTATCCCTTACCAGATCCAAAGTTCACAATCGCACATTCTAGAAGAAAACTACACCATCGACAGAAGAAGGACTTATGGGAAAGTCTTCAAAATGCCATCGATCTGTACGTATACAAATTAAATATTAATCTTAGACGTATTAGTTATTATTTTAACTTCTTAATAAATATATATATATATAATATTATAAACGCGAAAATTTGTGAGTATGGATGTTTTTTACTCTTTCATTCAAAAACTACTGAACGGATTTTAATGTAACTTTACAGTAATATAGCTTATGCATCAGAATAACATATAGGCTATATTTTTTATTGATATCTGATGACTTTATACACAATATGTAAAAAATAATCGACTGTTGTCCCAGATATGATGATCTGAGATGTTGTGGTAAACTCAATATATTATTGCTTTGATAATATTTGAATCCAATATGACATAAGGCGAGCCTATTGCGCTAAATCTGTCTCTGGGAATAATTTTGGTAACCTTCACCAACACCAACAGATATATATAAATAACCATAGACAATTAACACAGCGCCATTTAGCTCCACGGTAAGCGGAGCAAGTTATAAGTACTAGACAACTGATACAAATATATTTTTTTGTAAATACATACATAATATACAAAAGTATACTTGCAAAAACTACTCTATTCGCAAATAATAATAATAGCCTCAGGACTATTCACACAGCGCCATCTAGACCCAAGTTAAGCTAGCTTATGTCATGGGTACTAAATAACTGATACAAATATCTAGATTTTTTTTCATGAATATAAATGTTTGTGCAGTGCGAGGAATCGAACCCGCGAACATCGGAAGCAAAGCGATGTGCTAGACCACCGAGGTCATCAAAAAATGTTTATAGATATGCAATGTTATCACAATTGGTTATATTGCAGTTAGATATCTATATCTCTCGGACCACTTCCTGATTCCGGTATTGATACAGTAACGGTTTCTCTGCTGAGCGACTATAACTTAATGAGTATATGTTTCCTGCTGTAAGGCCGGTACTGAGCCAGGAATTATTTATTGAATTATCATATATCGAAACGATACCGAATACCGATAAATAAGGAAATGGTTTCTAATAAATTTATTTCATCGTATGACCATTGGATTTGTTCTAATTTAATAAAGATTTACCTATATCACTTTTTCTTAACTTATTCCACTTTGGCTTTAGTGGTTTAGCGATTTATCACACCGCTTTACTTCTGATCGAGTCCGTTCGCGGGCTCGATTCCTCGCTCGATACAAACATTCTTGAGTACGATTGTAGTCTTCTATGTATGTATTTACTACAAAAATGTATATGTATATTTGTATCAATTGTTTAGTAGACATTACACCACCTCTGATTATCTTAGTACTTAGATGGCGCTGTATAAATTGTTGTGCAAGGAATCGAACCCGCGACTATTGAATGTAAAGCGAGAGTGTACTAAATTGCTGGACCTCAATGGCTCCATTTTAAGAGTAATAAGACACAAAAGATAGAATTAATGCTCAAGTAATCTCTTTCAGCCCAAATGGTTCTTTTGGGCAAAAAATAATGGGGAATAGATAATTGATCTGTAACTTGCTATAATATTCTTAACTTAATATTTGCACTCTAATGAATTAGTGGTAGTTAGTAGTATGTATTCACACATTTATACTTACCAATGTAAAGTTATATAAATTACTAGCTGTCCCGGTAAACGTTGTTTTGCCTTAAAATAAAATAAAAAAATTAGGGGTGGACTACCCCTAACATTTAGGGGATGAAAAATAGATGTTGGCCGATTCTCAGACCTACTCAATACGCTCACAAAATTTCATGAGAATCGGTCAAGCCGTTTCGGAGGAGTATGGCAACGAAAACTGTGACACAAGAATTTTATATATAAGATTTAAAAGAGCAATACGTAACTTTCTTGCGCCTTCTTATGTTGAGACTTTCCGATTGAGCAGTACATTACAAAAAATAATAGATATGACTATTCAAAAGCGCTTAACTTTATATATATTTGAATAAGAATTTTCTATTCTATTCAAGAGTTTTGTTATTTTTATTTCAGCAATAATTACAACGGACGGGCTTGTATTTTAAGAAGCATATGTGAGGCTAAAACGGAACTTGCGGAACCAGGGAAATCTCTAATACATGATCTGTTAAGAGCTATATTCACGTAAGTATTAGCCGCATATTTCTTTCGTTATTGGGAATAATAAAAAAAATCAAATATTTATTCCTGTAGGAGATTTTAGTTCCTTATGTCTTATATATATATGAATAAAAAAAACAAAAAAACTTCATATACATGAATGTCAAGTTTTTTATCAACCTGTACGCGATTCCCCCTGGAAACAATTGTGGTAATTTGCTATTATCCAAGATGGAATAATTGACCTGTCTTCATGCTCATTTTATTATCCTCCTCTGGTGCCCCGTTAACTATTAGTGCAGGTGGGTGCATCATTCCATTATTAACCTTAAAAAGACATGATATTCTTGGTGCTTTTTTGTACTTTCCGGTAGGTAGCTTGCTTGCTGCAGTTACATAAAAAATATAAACGCACAATTTTAGGCTTAGCAGTTTATTACTAGTTTGTTTAATTAAATTTATTACGGAAGGACATTAGTTCTAATTTGGTAACCATAGCTTACGGGGACTTCTGAATCTTGTTGGCTCTACCATATGTTCCGTAGTAGATTAAAGGTGTCACAGCTGCGTATATTACAGGATTATTTCGTGTTAGCAGACGCACGAATACGAATAAAACCCGCACCAAGACAAATTATGTCACTATCTCTTAAACACGGACTCGTATTATTATGTAATTGGAATCAAATCAAATCAAATTTATTTGCTATCAACGTAGATATACATTGGTTGTAATTGTAGAATTTAATGCCCCATTATGTTTTGCCTCAATAGGCATGCAAAATTTTAAATTATTTAATTATTTAAAACATTTGTAGTCACGGCAATTTGTTGCAACCTTTTATATTGCAACACTAAAATAAAATTTATATTTTATGTAATATAGCAACAATCCTTCTTCTCGCCGCTACATCGGAGACAATACAGTACTGTGAACAAATTTTGGATTTTATTTAAAATTTCACCATTTCATCACGCCAGCTTCTTTCAAAGCACCCACAAAGTTCCGCTGCTGCTCATGGTCCTTTGACATATACAAAAACAAGAAGATTGGTGAATGGTGCAAATTCGATGTAGTGGCGAGAAAAAGGATTGTTGCTATATTACATAAAATATAAAATTTACTTTAGTGTTGCAATATAAGAGGTTACAACACAATTATAAATACACTAAATCTGGCCGTGGTTTCATCCCCATGAAATTTATAGCCTATGCATTACTCTGATGTATAAGTTATTATTAGATAGTGTAAAGTTTAATTAAAATCCGTTCAGTAGTTTTTGCGCGTAACAAACATCCATCCATACTCACAAACTTTCGCGTTTATGATATTAATAAGATATTATTATTACCATTTTCACATTATTAGGCATTTAAAAACTCGTTTATAGAGTAGCACCACTTGTCGAGTAACCAATTATTTTATTTGTCAATAGTCTTCGTTGAAGTTCTTTTAGTATTTTATTATAATGTTTTATCGCCATATGGAAGACGTTATTTTCGACCATACTTAATATTGTTCCATGTAAGTATAATATCGCAACAAACTGACGGCTCACCTGATGGTAAAAGGTAACCGTTACCTATATAGATGAGCATTACTACGGATATCACGTTATCATGTGATGCCTGTGATACCACTCATGCGTTGCATTTCAAAGGACTTTTTTAGCATTTAGGCCGTTTAAGTATTACTTAAGCACTATTTCTTTACTTTGCTTATTTTGAGTGATATGGTGGGAAGGGGAGTCTGGATGAAGATTACGTCATCGGCAGTTATTTACTTTAGTACACGTATGGCAACCCTCACATTGCTAAAAAAAAACATTAATTGAAAAATGTTTACGTAAGCATAGGGGAGTAAGAGCTTTGTATACTTTTTCTGATAAGGGGGATGGGGGGTGAATAATTGTAATAAATCTGCTACCTCTTTAATATTTCTGATTCATCATCTGAGACCGTCTGATAGATGAATAAAATATCCAATATTGTTGCAGGTCACCATCGTTTGAAAAGGAATTCCAAGATGAAATCGGTGATACGTACCTAGAAGTGCTTGATAACAATATCTGTGATATATTTCACGACTGCCCCATTTCGTTGATACAATTCGTTTTAGCGTTCAATAAACCAAAGAACAAACCTCAATGAAACATTCACGCAAATTTGTTTTGTTTTACTGCTTCCATTTTTTATACTTACAATTACAAATAGTTCAATGGTTAATAATAATCACGTGTTTAAAGAACAGTATTATCAAAACACTAAGAACAAAATTTATTTCTAAGATTCCATTTTTATCTTTAAAACTAAAATGTCAAATGAATATTCAAGGCCAAAAAAGAGATGGATGGACTGTGTGAAAGATGATATGGTAAGAAAGGAAGTAAATAACCATTGCAGATACATCTGATTAGTTTAATCTGCTATCAATTTTGAAATTGCAACAACATTTATATATATATATGAAATAAATAAATACATAGTTCGAGCTAAGAAGAACTGAAAAGATACTCTGCATCCATTCCCTTCAAATGCATCATTATAATTTTAATCATTACATAGTATAAATTATTATCTTATTAAATCTTTAAACTACGCAACGGATTTTGAAGCGGTCTTTTTAATTTAAATAGATAGAGTGGTTTTAGAGGAAGGTTTATACATATATATAATACATGTACACCCGTGCGAAGCCGGGGCGAGTAGCTAGTAATATTATAAAAGCGAAAGTTTGTCAGTATGTATAGATAGATGAATGAATGTTTGTTACTATTTCACGCAAAAACTACTAAATTGATTTTGATTATACTTTACTGTAATATAGCTTATACATCAGAATAACACATAGGCTTTATATTTTATCCAGGCAAAACCGCGGGCACAGCTAGTAATACATAACAATAAAATATATAAGTAATATAAAAAATTACGTTTAGGATGAATACAATCATCAGCATGTGCTAATAAATTAGTTTAATTTATGTTAATTAGATATAATACAGATAATTAAGGTACCTTCTACATAAAATATTTACATAACACAGCCTCGGTGGTCTAGTGGTTCAGCACACCGCTTCACTATCCGATGGTCGTGGGTTCGATTTCTCGCACGGTACAAACATTTGTATTCATGAGTATGATTGTTTCTATCTGTCTGGGTGTTTTCTAGGTATAATATGTATTTAATTAAAAAAATGTATCCATGTTTTTATATCAGTGCCGTGCGAGTGTGAATTGTCCTGAGATATCTTAGGACAATTCATACAGCGCCATCTAGACTCCAGTTAAGCTAGCTAAAGCTTATGTTATGGGTACGATAACTGACACAAAAATACATATTATATATATAAAACACCCAGCCCGGTACAAACAATCATACTCATGAATATAAATGTCTGTGCCGTGTGAGGAATCGAACCCGCGACTATCGGAAGTAAGTCGGTGTGCAAAACCACTAGACCACCGAGGCCGTCAAATACATATATGTATAAATACGATCCAAAAGTATTACCCATGCTTATTCTATAGTAGTAAATGTGACCATGATTTGTCTGCGACCACTGCAAGAGTAATGGTGGTCACATTTTTGTTCGGACCGCGGATCTAATGTCCCTAATGGAATGGCTGTTATTTGTCATCATGTATTCCGGGGTTCAGTTCAATGGCAGCACAATAAACTAAAAGTATATTTGCAAAAACTACTCCATTCGCAAATAATAATAATAGCCTCAGGACTATTCACACAGCGCCATCTAGACCCAAGTTAAGCTAGCTTATGTCTTGGGTACAAAATAACTGATACAATTACCTAGTTTTTTTTCGTAAATACATATATATTATATATAGAAAACACCCAGATCGATACAAACAATCATACTCATGAATACAAATGTTTGTGCCGTGCGAGGAATCGAACCCGCGACCATCGGACGTACAGTGGTGTGCTAAACCGCTAGACCACCGAGGCCGTAATTTTTTATATGCAAGTTTTAGTGTAATATAATATATAATATATCTCCACATCGTATCTCCATATCGTTTCGACTTGTAAAATGTGTACTTACAAGGATTGTTTAAAAGAGCAACATACAACAAGATGCTTATTCTTCTTATGACGAGACAGCATTCCGAATAAGTGGTAGATCTAAAAAAAAATTTTTGACTATCAAAAGTGCTTAAATTAAGTTTATTTGAATAAATGTTTTTCTATTCTATTCTATTCTCGTAAGAACGTATCTGGTAAAAGTAAGCTCTCGAACCAATAGGTGCAGTAAAAATAAATGAATTTTATCACCTGGAATTCTAACTTACCTTCTAGAGTTCGTAGTATCAGTATTTATTGTACTTTAAAAAAATACTACAAATAAAAAAAATTGGTATTCCTCACCCAGATAAACGATTTCGATTTTCATTGCGAACATGACAAGCTGTCAATTCTTCAGAAAACATGTCCGTAATTTCAACAGCGAAATTCGCCGCTTGTTCTTTTTTTATAGGCTCTGCGTTTAAGTCTCCCTCACACCACGCCGAAGCGTCGAATGTAACCCAATTTACGAGTAGCACTACCTACTCTCAGACAGGCACTTTTGTGTTATTTTTTTCACAAAATCCATGTCTGACCCAATAAATCGTTGTGAAAAGCTTTCACCGAGTTGCTGATAGAATTAATCAAGTTTAAAGGTAAATTAAGAATGCCCATCCAAATCTCCCTTGGGCCCTTTGGTAATTCTGTTAACGTTTACGTGTTCGTTAACGTTAACGTTGTCAAATAAATGCGGTTTTAGTTAATTGGAGCGGAGTAAGAGCCGCAGTATTGCTTTTGAAGTTACTATAATTTATTAAGTCTGCTTGTAAATTTAGAACACATTAGCTAATATGTACCTGTAATATATGAAGTACTACTATATCATGCTTCTATTTCTTGCTTTATCTTTCTTTCTTTTCCTTTTCTGTGGATACTGTACTAAGTAACTAAAAATTAGACTATTATACATGTCTAAAATATAATTTTAATGATTTTTGGAATATTCGGGAATCGTATCTGCAATTTATCGGAATGTTAGGCTAGTGCCTGACATGTTATCCCGTTAAATCAAGATTATCTATTATATTATACTATCAGAGGGATCAGCATATATATGATCTATCATCATATGATCAATATGATCATCAACTATTATTTATTATTTATTAGTCACGATTCTCTCTGATTTTTTTTACTAAAATATGTTTGTTTGTATGCCTATGTTTAAAGTGCTGGTGACCCCTTTTTACACTAGGCCCAATGTTTTAATAATTCTAGTAAAACTAACTGTTATCCGCGAATTCTTCTGCTTTTATTGAGATAGCCATTCACTACAAATTTTATTAAAATCCGTTCACACATTTAGTTAAAAAAAAATAGAAATATAAATATTTTTTATTCAAATAAACTTAATATAATTTTGAACAATCATTTACTGTATATGACAGTATTTTTTTTATTCTACCAATCGGAACGCAGACCCATCACAATAAGAATGAGCCAGAATCTTCCATGTTGCTCTTTTATAGTATTTGTTGTTCATAATTATGGTTTTAATAATTTTGTGTTACATTCAAAATGTATGCATCCACATTCATAATATTTATATGAATTAGGTCGTTTTTGCTTTTCTACTAACCTCTTACTTTTCCAGGCGTAAAGAATCAATTCTGAACCACGTGCATCCGTTGACTCAAATATATCATATTGCACTTTTATAATACACACAAATGTTGTTCATAATTACGTTTTTAATAATTTTGTGTTATATTTTTAAATTCTTACATTTATAATATTTGGGTAAATTAGGGAGTTTTTGCTTTTCTACTAAGCTCTCACTTTTCCTGGCAAAAAGGATCGATTCTGAAACACGTGCATCAGTTGACTGTAACATATTTAAGGTCGTCCCTCCATCTAATGGGGGTTCGGCCCATATTGCCTGTGGTTATATGGGGTCGCCACTCAACAACATTCTTTTTTATGGGCTTTGAATTAAAGCTGTAGACATCTCTACTTTAAGTTTGTAGATTATATACGTTAATGTAAATTAATACATACATACTTCGTTTAAATGTTTACAGATATATATTAATGTGTATATAATTATAATTATAATATAATATATAATTTGTTTAGGTAGAGGGACAGATAAGTAGATATATCTTTGAACTCCGTTCTTCCTCCATTCATGAAAAACAGACAACTTTATTATTTTATTAGATTGATAGGCAAGTGATTAATTTGTAGAGAAAATTATTATTTCTCAAAATAAATTTTATTAAAGTTAAATATAAATTCGTGAAGTATAGAAATGCGACATTCATAAAACATGAAATGCAAAGTAACACTTCATGCGAGAGTTGATTAAATTATAGCACAGGCATTAAAAATTATCTGAAATTGTTAATAAAACCAGATAGTAACAGCAGGTAATTCTAATAGGCATAATTTATAATTAACTCTCGAAGTTAATTATTAATTTGCAAAGAAAATAAAAAGACATTCGTAAAACTTTGTATAAATTAGCAAATGTGACACTTCGTATAAGATTTTGATTCATTACTAAGAGATGTTATAAATTATTAATAAAATCAGTACAAGATTTTGATTAACTTATTGCAAATGTATTAATGTTTATCACTGGAGTTGCTAACAAAACCATGTAGCACTTTCCTATGACCCTAATTTTAACGGCTCCAACCATACAAGTTCAATTCGTGTCTCTTAGTGACGCCTCTAAATTTGTTCACACCCTTACGAGAATTGTGACAATTACTTCTTCCGTTAGCCGACTTGACACAGATTTTCTGTTAAACTAGAACCAAACATCAGTCCAGCAAACATAGTAACAATGTAACATATTGTGTGTGGAGATAGGTAATAACATTCGTCAAAATTCTTCAATAATTTTTTAAATACAGTGTTATAGTGAATATATCGTATAAAGATGATATTGAATTTAGAATTACTATTATTTTTGCTAATGGCCAGTCATGTAGGATTTAGTTTGTCGAGAGATGTTGAACATGCGGGGAGAATTTTATCCCGTAAAAGACGATATGTGACATTTCCTGAAGGCTCTAGTTTCTCGGTGAGTACTATTTTTATTTATTTTAAACCAAATGGTGTTAAAGTGCAAGGTATACTAATTTGTGGCATAAATTAGCTGTTACTAATATAACAATTTCTAAATCAACAAAATACCTTAAGTTACTTCCTATAATCTATTAAAATATAACACAAAGTACCTTAAGCTATCTGCGAGTGAAAGTATCGCCAAAATATCCGTTTCAGAAATCATCAAGAACAAACAAACAGACAGACATATATTTTTTAAGCTGGTTTGATATAAGTACCGTTGTATGTTAAAATAAGTACTAGACTTTAAGGTAAACTGTAAAAACTCCACGTATGTAGCTCAGTATCACCAATTTCAATTCCCAAGCAGATTTTTGTAAATTATATTTCGGTTGGTTAGATTAGTCAATGAAATTACAGGATAAGAGGTCTCATTCCTCTAGGATGGCAACACATAAGTGATATCACGGATGTCATATGATAACGTGATGACCGTAGTACTATTCGTGTACGTAGGCAACGGTTACCACTTACTATTAGATAGTCTTGCGGTTTGTTTGCTATTTCAATTACTTTGTAATCATGAACCAACGTCTAGTCTATTATTTGTATACAGATTATTCTAGTCTATACTCTAGGAGACAAATATTATATACAAGTTGTACCTGCGGTTTCACATGTGTGAAATTTATAGTCTATTTGTTATTCTACTGTATAAAGCTATATTACTGAAAAGTTCTTTGAGTAGTTTTTGTGTAGAATAGTAACAAACATCCATCCATCCATCTCCACTCACAGACTTCCACGTTTATAATTAGTAAAATGTGCAAGGGCCCATTTGTAACAGACAGACAAAGAAATTTTGAAAGGTTAAAGTACACAATAGGTCTATTGCATTATTTTTAGTATAAATGTATTTTAATTGTAAACAATTTATTTCTTCCCAGTGCGCTGCCTGTATGACCGTAGGTGTAATAGGTCAGCCAGCACCAAGTACCGCACCTGGCACCTTCACGTTTGGCCTCAACTGGGGCATAGCATACGAACTACCAAACGCGACAGAGACCTTAAGTTTCTATCACAAGAAGTATAGGCTGAAGAAACCAGTTGCACAGAGACGAAGCAGACGAGAACTTTATGGCAAGATGGAGACCATATTGGATAAGTAATGATAATTTGATATACAAATTGTATTATAATCCCCTTATATTAGGAGATAGATACATAAAAATGACTTAATTATAGCAAAACAAATACGGATGATTAAAAACATAATAATGATTTAGAAACATAACGAAACTAACATTTTAATTATTTTTACTAATTTAATTTAATAGTAAATATATAAATATTTTTTGATTACCATATTTTGTGTGTGTATCAAAATACTTTCTAAATAACATACCTACTAAACTTAGGCTGTAATTAAAAACTTAGGAAACAATAGAATAGAAAATTATTTATTCAAATAAATTTAAGCATAGTCATCACATTTTTTTTAAACTACCGCTCATACGGAAAGCTGTTGCAAGCTGTCGCTAGCTCTTTTAAATAATCATTGTACATTTTTAAGTCGAAACGTATGAATTCAAACTATCACCTAGCACTAATTTATTAGGGTCAAATATAAATAAGATTAAATCAGTCGTAGTGACAATGTATATACAACTCTAATATTGTTTTGTGATTGTGATATAATAAATGTTATTCTATAATATTCTCTTCTATGTGATGTAACCAGATATAAAAAGTGCTTTAATATTTAATAGATTAAGAAGCAGCATTAAGCACATTAGCTGAAATGAAAAGGTTTATTCCATCGTACCTATTTAAAATTAGCACTGTTCTGTTGCTCCTTAGTAACTGTAGTAACATAATCTGATATAATGTAATGAAAAATATATTATATTCATAGGTATAATTAGTAAAAATCACGGGATCTTACCACGTTTTATATTTATTTGCTGAGTTCCCGATATTTCGGCAGTGTTTCAACCACCATGATCACGGGTAAACTGAAGAGCAGCGGGTAGATGGTAAATGAAATTGTTTTATGGGCAGATATGCGTCTACCTTCACACGTCTTCGTTTGTTGCTACTACTGAAACTCGCTCGATATTCGTCTCGGCAAACTGTACTCACAGTATCTGGATACTGTGAGTACAGTTTGACGAAGAACATGGAAACGTAGAAGAACGTGGTAAGATCCCGTGATTTTTACTAATTATATGTATAAATAATGACCGCGTCAAATTTAAAACAGTATACGTTATATTTACTGTTATATATTTAGCGATTATCCCATTCTCTCTTTGTAAATATGTTTCCTTCTAATCAACTTTGTTTTTGTGATATATAACATAGTATATTTCTTTTCTTGTGTGTATATTATTTATTTAATGTATATTATATGTGTAAATTTGTGTTATTTATTAGTACTCAATTTTTTTAAACCCGTACCTTGTAAAATACTATGCTACCTATTTTATTTATATAAGTGTATGTACGATTAATTTTATTTTCCTTACTTTTTTCCACTCATGCGCGCCACCTTTTTATTTTTTTGTAAATACACTTTTTCCAAAGGTTGCCTGAAAGAGATTGCATAAGCGATAATACCTTTTTCTATTTAGTTTTGTTATCAATATTTTAATTTTGTTCATGTCCCTTCAATATTGGAGCAATGAAGTATTTTAATACAAACTGCTAGATTTAGTGGTAGCAACTGAATTCCTGTTACACATAACTGGTTATGCAAGAAGCGATTTCTCTCTATTGTAATATTTCTTTTGAAGAACAATGCATTATTGAAAGGGAAGGAAAACTCTAAATAAAACCCTTTACCAAGCCGCCTGGTCAGCGTACTAATGGGACGATAATGGGTTGCCATGATAAAGTACAATAAAAATACAAAAAGATTTACTGTACAAAAATACAAAAAATGGATACTTGAGTATTTATATCAGTTGTCTAGTACCCATAACACAAGCGACGCTTAGTTTCGGACTAGATGGCGCTGTGTGAATTGTCAATAAAAATTCGATGATGAATGTGGAATAAAGATCGTTGATTGAAGAACCAGTACAGAGATATGCAGTGATAATATCAAAATGTAGCAACATAGTTTTTACGATATCAACATAAACGCTGCCGAAAAATTCAGAAAAAATATAGGAAGCCCATTCCTATATCAATCTTAGCATATGATGATGATATATTGAATTCTGATTTATTTTTATCTTTTATTACAGTATGGGTTACAACGGACGACAGTGCATACTGAAGACTCTGTGTGAAACTACACAGCGTATCGTACCACATGGAAGTAACATGATCGAGGAAATATTCAGAACCTTATTCACGTAAGTAATAAGATTGAAAATAAATTCCAGTTACGTATATTTATATTACTAGACTTATTACTAGGCATATTATACTCTTGTACAATATTCGTTATAATTTGTTGCTGCTTTATTAAGATTTCATTCTTCGTGTTTAAAATTGTATTCCTAATAAGAGCTTGAATAAAAAAAAACGACTTTTAGAAATTATATAAAATTAGGTTTATTGAAAAATTATTATAGTTATTACTATTTTGATTACCTTGGTAAATACCTTTATCTTCTCTGATTGTTGCTATATTATTTTAAGATCCGAAAGATAAGGATATTATACTTAAATTTCAGGGTGCAGTTTCATAGTTAGGTCAATAGTACATAATTATAGTCTTTAAGAATGACAACGCATGAGACGTGGCATGATTATGACAATATACTATTTGACTTATGTGATATCGTTCATCTATTTGATGAAGGTTTCCACCTACCTTTAAGTGAGCCCTCAGTTTGTTCGCAATTCCAGTCAAGTACATAAATATATAAACGTAAAGTACATAATATGTAAATAATTCTAGACATACATATAAAACAAAGTAGTATAATGGGTACTACATCACTAATTCTCTATTAGTAGACTTTCTAATAATTCATTCATTTAAAATGACTTTGATCGCTTTACTTTCAGATTGCCTATATCCAAAGTGCTACCTGAAGAACCAGTAGAACACGTAATATATGATGCTGCTCATCGTCTCGGTATGCTTCTGGAAACGTGTGAAGCATATACATGCCCTATCTCTTTAGTTGACTGGGCTCTAGGCTATTACAATGCACCGGCCCCAAAATTGGACCCTGCGACACACCCTTGGGCTTTATTTAGCAGTAACTTTGGATAGTTCAATATTTCATTTTATAGCTTACAGATATAAGTTCCGTGCCAGTTTAATTTAGAAGATTGAAATATTTTCTTCAAGTTCCTAATAGTAATGATAAGTGATTAAGTATTTAATAGCTTATTTCTACCGAAAATAACTTAATATAATATTTATGTTACTTTCGAAAAAATGATAGAGGAATCTAGTAATAGGTGTGGCATAATGTATATATTAAATAAAACTACTCGTAAACCGTAACTTTGTCTGCACAATCATTTTTTAAAGATTTAAATGTCCTCGTGATGCAATACATTTTCATGTCAAATTTAGTTAAATAACCGTTTAGCCGTTTAGTTGTAAAAAAATAACAAACAGACATACTTTCACATTTATAATATTAAATATGAATGGAACACAAATATGCTTGTAAAAAATTCGTAACCTTACCATAATACACCAGTAGTAATGTTTCTTTCTCTATAGTGACCATTTAACAGTGAAAGAACTTGTAACCTACCAACCTCTTTGCATTAACAAGCCATATAACATAGATACATTTAATAAAAAGTATATTGTAAACATGTCAGATTCATTCGCTTACAAATTATTGATTTTAAAAAGATGTTGCATTAATTATTATTTGTTATTTTTATTCTGATATTATATCCACACACTTGTCAAATCGGTGTAATAGTTCCGGAGTGTACTGTCCCCATAACGAAATTAGCTCTCTCTCTCTTTATAGTATAAAATTGTAAATATGTATTGTATGTATATAACTGTATTTCATTGATCGTTGAATACTTACGTCATCCTTTTCATTATTCGGCATTCTATAATGTTTCCAGAAGTTTCTATGGTAAAAACATTGACATAAATCTGTCTACCTATAGTTCCAGTGGTTGCAGCAAAAACTATAGACATATTATAATTTTTGTGAATATTATTATTAAATATATGTTTATATACATACGTATATGTATATAAACATATATTTAATAATAATATTCACAAAAATTATAATATGAACAATGAACAATGAACAACAACAACAATGAACTTGCAAACTTATCTTCTAACAAGGAGGCTATAAGTAGTCCATAATCGTTTGAAATATATACCATTGAAATATAGGCCATATCCCTAATATCACAAAGTTCCTATTAATTTATCATGAAATTAGGTACAATATGCATGGACAAATATTAAATAAAACACATATAATATTATTAACGCATAACATTTAATATTTATAGTTCATATTTATAATACATTTCAATATTAGCAATAAGAAATCATGAGTGTAATCATTATATTATGTATGACGTAGGTCGTGCGGATTTTTAATTAATTTTAACATTACAAAATGGGACTTAACATTAAATTACACTTCTAAATTATTCATTAAGTATATTATTTCACGTTCCTTATTCATAACCTTTCATATAACTACTGTATTATAATTGCTTACTATATTTATTACACATTTCATAGATCCGTATATTATTGAGCTATTATGACTTAGAATTACGAACATATTTATTTGTATATGTATTATATAGCATAGTGCATAAACCTTAAAATATTATTCAGTGGCAATGATCATAATTTTGAGATACAAACGTCTACAATTCTGACGGTCTTAATATCTCTAAGCTAATTCTATGAGTGATCGTTCATATACAAGTATATTATTGTATATTGTAACATTATCTTATATTAAAATAAATTAGGAATCCACTCTCGTGTACTATCTATTAACTATTCTGTATAATTACTGTGGTGTTCGTTGACAAATGTCACTTTCAACCGTATGTCTGTTTGTGTAAAAATTGTAGACTACAACGAAGATTTAGTCCGCGAAAGCTGAGTTTGTAAAGTAGAATTAATTTTATTTTTACAATTTACTTTTTCTTTTCTATGTGTTTTGTGCGTTTATTACCTTGTTTGTAATTACCTCAATTATAAGACATTGAAAGTCAGTGAAAAAATATTATAAGACATAAACTTATATTTAAAATATATATATAGAGTAAAGCAATATTTAATTCACAAGATAATATGTAGTTAAATTTTTAAACCCTCTTCTAAAAAATAAATATACCACATACCACATTCTCTATGAAAAAATAAATTTATTCTAAATCGAATGAAGATAACTAATTATTTAAAAAAGATATACATAAATAGGAGCCAAGAAATTAGAAGTTACAAGCTTCCGAAACCAGTTTAAAATATAATTAGAAACGACTATATTTTACCATCGAGTAGTGAAATGGACTTCCGCAAAATAACACCTAATTCGATTAAATATATGACTATATCTTAATTGAAATCAGATTTATAGTGGATACGTCTTCAATTTCTACACACCAAACACCGTTACTCGTGACTAGAAAGGTGAAAGAAACATCATAACAAACTGAAAATTCCGTATCACTAGTATAGGACATTTACATTAATATTAACGATAGACAAAAGTTTCAAACATACATCCTTAACCTATTATGCCTCTGCAGCTATAGTTCAAATAATTACTGAATAACAATCAACCTTAAAATTTCAACTCGCGCCCAAATATACAATTTCAAAGTAAAATATATAATAATATAGCCTCATATATATTATGTACAAATTAGTGATGTGCCGGACATTTAGTGTCTAGATCCATGGATATATAATAGATACGGATACGGATAAAGAAATCTTTTACTATTTTACCCAGTTGGTGTATTTAAGAAATGATATTTGACACTTTTAGTAATGAATTTTAATCATAATTACAATAAATGTTTAAAAAAGATTTAATTTGTGGATTATTATTTTTGGAATAATAAATGCATTTAATATGTGATTATAGGAGATGAAATTAATTGAAATCAAAGTTAGTTATATTTCTTTATAACCTATATTTAGTATTTCATATACGTAATTAAGTAAAATGCATTAATATGTGATTATAGGAAATGAAATTTATTGATATTAATTTATTATATATTTATTTATAGTTTATTTGTACTTCTATGTAACCTTTATTTAGAACTTATATATAATATTTAAAGTAAAAGATTCGTTTTAGATCCTTAATAACGGACATGGGTACAGAACTTTTCTCTCCCTTCAATATCCGCGGTTATGGATAAAAATACGAGTGTCTGGCACATTACTAATACAAAGTTTTAACTGAACATTAACTTGGAGATTACAATAATGATAACGCAGACTAACAAAATAAGGCACACAGAATGTCTACAATAAATTAAACGGAAGGATTAAAAATAACAATCACAAAGGTCAGAAATTGCGAACTCCAGTTCTCGCAAACTAAATGAATCTACGGGGACATTTAAAAAATCAATAATAATAATCGAGAAATCAGTATAGTAATTTGAAATGCTATAAAAACAAGACATAAAGACATACAATTCACGTACACTAATAAATTATATTTCGTGAAAGAAGTAAGAGTATAGTGTGAAAGTGGTTTATTATCTCTGTATTTACATCTAATCGTGTTGGAAGCTCAACGCAAATTTCGTGTGGTTTCGACTACTTATTAAGTATATATTATTCTATTATATGTATTATATTATGAGTATTACTATTATTAAAACACAAACAATATATCATACTTAGCATTAAACAAAGAAAAGCTCACGTGATAAATAACCAAAGTAATTGATAAATAATTTTTTATATACTAAAATTTAATTGTACAGATAATTTTTAACAAAATTTGTATAAAGATAAATAAATATGAGAAATTATAACTTACGTCACTTTGGAAGACGTTTGATTAAACATGCAAATATGCCTAACTTACATAAATATTTATATGGTATATAGAGTATTAATATTACGTAGATATTAAAGTGAGATTACATTTAAAAGAAAGAAAGAGAAATAAAAGATAACGTGCAATAAAGTAAATATAATGTGTTATCGAAGAAAATGCTATTCGAAATTCTAGATTTCGTTCAACCTAATTATAAAGCGTTATGGATTATCTGTTAAATATCGACTTTAAATGTCAAAGGAAGCATTAAAATTACACGTATAATTAACAATTATTAACTAAGAATATGACAATAGAACATAAAACGTAAAATTTATTGCTATATGACATATTTGTACTAGTACAAAAAGAAAACGAAAATGTAAACATAACTATATTCACTACGACGTCATTCTACAATGCTACGTTAGCGCTAAAGGTACTGTGAAAGGAATGTAGAAAAATAACTTGTCAATTATAATATTATTTAAATTTCTATGTTGATCTGCTATATTTACATGTCAACATTTTTGTTAAGTTGATTCCTTAAAATTATTGACAGCCATATGATAGCTGACTATGGGTTTGCAACTCCATAATCCGATGCAGACAAACCTACTGACACATACCGAGAACCAAGCAGCTGGTAAAGCTAAAATTCAAGTTATTATTAAAAATAAAATACTTACTGTTTTAGAAATAAATATTCCGTATTATTATGAGGGACTAGCATAATAACGTGTTTCATTAAAACTATGGATACCAGATATACTTCAGTTAATCAACAATAGTTTTAAATAGTGATTAAGATTAGATGATTTATTATCTAGATCGATTTATTAAAACGAAATGTTTTGCTGTAAAAATAACGAATAATGTATTTTATAAAAATGGATCGTATAGTAAAAGTGAATAACATTAAAATATATTTAAATAAATTTTAAGTATAACTATTTAAATTTTCAAAAGTACACTTTTAAGAAATCAGGGAAGGGTATAAATAAAAAATGTAATAAAACTTGAATAAAAAAATAACAGCTGCCGGTACCTGTACGGTAACAAATTTATCTAACACCGAATTTCCGAGCTGACCCATTCGTCGACTAACTCTAAAAAACATTGAGAAGCTAATTTAATACCACTTACAATTAATACAAGTACCCATTTAATTTACTTATTAACAAACATGGTTTACTTGTTCAGTTTATTGTTAAATTCATTACCTATCTACCAGATATACGATATTCACTACTTTCCTTGACCCGTTTATCACCCGAATCTCTATATAAACATTTACACAAAACGTAGGTTTCATTAACAACTTTAAAAGACCCATTAATCATCACTTACACAAATATGAAGTTTTAGAAACAATAATACATATTTATTATGTCTTTGAGACGGTATCAAATAACAATCATTATAATAAAACATCATAAATTAATCCTGATTTGGTGACATGTCTAGGTAACATGGAATTCAGACTAGAATTAGTATTGGCAAACTTTCCTAAGTTGAGAACAGTTGGTAAATTGTTGTAATAGGTTAATCAATTTTCATTCACACTACAAACCTTTAGGGTCATTAGTCGTTGTATTGACTTAACTCGTTCAATTCTGGAACTTAGGAATACATTTTCATATACCATATATAAAAACATTTCCCGGCTATGCACAAGAACTACATTTTCTTGAGATTCTTTTATTGATATTGCCTAAGTATTATTTAAATCCACAGTTATTACATTACTAATCTTAGCTCCATATTTCAGACTCTCCTTACTAGAAATATTTACAATATATTTTTTCAATTCAGCTTATCTCTTAACATCCCAATCAATCGTCCCGGCTAATAATTAAGTTAGCCGCAGCATACATTCCTAAACAACCATTAAACCTATGGTGTTTTTAGAAAATCTATTATCATTTGCAGTCATATAAAAATAACAACAGACCCGTCCGTTTTCTAGCAAATATCTACAATAAAACTTCTGAACCACGAAACAATACGAAAAGCCTGTGGACTTAACTAGTATTTAAAGATAATAGTACTCAATAATACTAAATTGGTGTATTTCGGTGCGTGCAATAGCACATTCCTACTTCCAATAATCGACGTGTCTGTGAACCTTATTAGAAAATTAATATTAGCAATCAGTTATACACAATTCCATCAAAATTCCATTGTAGGACCAGACATAATTAGAGCCATACAAAATGTAGTCCAATAGTTTTAGAGACGGAGCTAACATTTTAGTTTCAACCTTTAGCGAGCGTTTCACAACTTCCTCTAACATTAGACCGTAATCACGTACGTTACACTACGTTTACGTATCATCTAAACTATTCTAGCCCAGTGTATGCATTTATCAGATACGAACAGCTATACACATCCAATAACACTTATATATATGAAGACGAATCACACAAAACAATATGATTTATTTTCAATATAACCATCCCTGTTTTCCAATCTGCTCGCTGTTGATTTCATAATTTACTGAGTTATCTAAGTAATCTTTATCTAATAAACATTATCATGAGTTACTTTGACATATCAAATACGCGGCTCGAAATATTTTTTTTTATTACGTTAGACTGCTACAATAACCCTATAAAATGGGTCGAAGTGAGGTAAAAACGCTTATGATGCGCGAAGTGTTTGAAATAATCTTCAAACGTACCAACTACGAAACCAACTATTCATAGAAACGTGAACAATGTAACACTTAAGTGTAACCAAAATGAAATAGGTGTCTAATATTGAATCTAATCTATGTAGGTACAAATAAATGTATGGTTACCTAAATCGTTACAGACTAGGTCATAAACCTCAACAATGACCTTACCTAAAAATGTGAGTGGTAAAGTGCCGATAAGTGAGTAAAAGACATTACAATCAGTGAAAATATGTGAGAATGTAAATCAGGAGAAGAAACTTGTGTACTAAATTTACCCTGTACTCTAGGATTTATTAGCAAAATTACTGTTATTATTAATTGTACAGAAGAAAATATTATACGCCTCTTCAATTGCAAATAGGCGTTTACAAAATAAGCGTTTCAGTATGAGATCCTTCAGTCATTACTTTTAGGCAAGCATTCGTTTGATATCTTACGATTACGTTAGAATCAATATTATTTCAAGCAAAATTTAAAAAAACGTATCGAATATCAAATATACAAAACACTAACAAAAGTCCAGCATACTTTGGCTTTCATTCGGAACTATATTGCTATACTGCTGGCAGATTTGGCACACCGTTTAAAAAATCTAATAAAACAAGTTACCGAACTATCTAAGAATATCGACTTTATAAAAATGTAATTTACAATTGGCAGTCAATTGTGTTTCACAAATATATCTCTAGTCCAATATCACCGTCGCGACATGACTCTATAAACTATATTGGCTTTATGATTAGTGTCTCCTCCATTACTGATGACTAGACTTATAAACCTATTATCTACAACTTCATTACATCTACAGGTGAATTATTACCATTCGTCATATTATCGATATTGTCCATATGATTTTTACGCGAGTACGCAGTTTATCAAATATTAAATGTATAATTCAAAATTACATCACCATTATTTAAGTACACCTAGAATGTCCGGCTCTCATAGAGGACGTTTGCACAAAACTATCATAATAATGTCCGATGCTAATCGACTTCAGATTAAATAGTACCAATTTACAATACTTAAACATTACTAATTTGAGCTGGATTTTATTCGAAGTGACTCTTATAGGTACGTAACTGTTAGTACAGCACATGTGTTACCTAACATTCGAAATTATATATAATATGACGCAAGAAACAATACAAACTCCTAAATATAAACTGTACAATCTTTGTGCGCTCGTATTAAACAATTCCAGGAAAAGAAATCACCACATGAAAACATACAAAATATGCGTATGATTAAAGTATAAATATTCAGTACAGCATTTCTAATTATAAAAATAGTTGCGGCGGATCCGGCAGTAACAAAAAACGGCTGTCTTGAGGTTGCCGTGTTCCGACTTCCACTATCGACGGACACAGTCTCGAGTTCGAGTTTCTATTATAAAAAGACGGCTTTGGATACGCTTACGGCGTTCACACGTCCTATAGCGCACCTGGCGCTTGGCACCACACTGAGCACTAAATCATGTCCTCGCCTAGCAGTTCCCAACTGGGAGCCTTACATGGATCATCCATGCCACCACATAACGATCAGCTCCCAGAACGTCTTCGGCGGCGGGTGGCCGAAGACGTGAGACGAATTTCAGAGACCCGGGTCTCCTATGGAGCCCATTTTGAGCAACTCCAGTTTTTTCTTTGCAATTTTCGAGTACAGGATATCGATTGGTTTGCTATTGTCGTAGAAGGTTGGCGCTCGAAATATAATGAGCGCTGTACCTAGGACGCAAGCTATCGTAAATGCGAACAGAAAGATTCTGTCCAGCACCATTGCTACATACTTCCAATCATCCTCCACCTATAACAAATAAGATACATATTAGCTCAGCAAAAATACGAATAGTTAAACGATATAACAATGAAGACCGTAATACAACTTACACTTTCAAACTTATCCTTATTTTTCACATGCTGAGCAATAAATCTGGAGCCTTCTATAGTCTTTTCCATCTCTCTCACATAAGGTTTCTCTAGAGATGGACTACCGTCATCTAAGTCCAATCGGCATGGAGATCCCGGGGATGGGGAGAATAGTTCATCGTCACCCCCTGGAGGTGGTGGCGGCGATGGAGGCATGCCTGGTAGTTCGTATTCTTCGCAACCCCATTCCTTAAACTTTCCATCCATGTCATCTCCACCGAATACATCCGTGAGGACCTAAAATATTAATAAATACTAAAGCAAACCGCAAATTACAGGAATAGTATCGATTGTATTAACAAAGATAGAAAACTAGAAAGAATACACAATAGGTATACTGGCGTACGTTGAAATACTGAGAGATTAAAACGTCAGTCGGAATTCGCGAGGGCAGTGTATCGACACGTAGCTTAAGCCGGCACACAATTAGGCCGAAGTGGAGGTTTCGGTTTCGGGCGTCTACTGGCTCGTATATCGCACGATCCGTCCGCAGCCGCCAGGGGAACATAAATAACGGGGGCCGCTCATGCTCGTTAAGCCCGCCGGCGTTGAGTAATAAAGGAAAATCGAAATGGAATGAAATTGGGCTGGAAGCGATATTTTCGCGATACACACAGAGCACAATGGATTTAGAATACCGTTGAAAGGAGCGTTTCCCAGAAGAGTATCGCGACTGAGGACAATTAAAATGGTTATTGTTGAGGGCGGCTCCGACTTCACTGTAATAGCGTTCTGTTTGTATTGAATCCGCTCCGATGGAAAATGTTTTGAATGGAGGAAACTGGATGAGGAAAGGCGGCGTGTTGTTTTTTCGCTTTAAAAGGAATCCCATTGAAGACTTCATTTGTGAAGGCTTTTATTTTACAAATTTAATTAAAACGCTATCACTCGGTTTATTTTAATGTGCCGAGGTAGAATAGACGTCAATTTCTGGCGTACGATTAACGGCGTTTAACTGAAACAGCTTCACATCCGGTGTTTAATATAAATAATATTGTTGATTTATTTATTAAAGCTACATTTCTTACCTCTGTTGGTTTATCGTTTTCGTCGTCATCGGGCGGTTTTTCTGGCCTTTGTATACACAATATTCTGGGTAAAAAATCTATAAAGACTTTGCGCACCCACGGGGCCATATGGTGGGTAACTGGGGACCTAAAATTTACGTTTAGCACCACGATAGTGACAACTACTGATAATGTAACTAGCATCATAGTAAACAACAAATATTTTCCCAGCAACGGCACCGTTAGAGATGTCGGTGGAATAATTTCTGCTAACAGTAAGAAGAACACGGTCAAAGACAAAAGAATGGAGATGCAGAGTGAGATCTTTTCACCGGAATCTGATGGTAAATAGAACACCAGGACTGACAAAAAAGAGATGCCAACACAGGGAATAATGAGGTTGACCGTGTAAAAGAGAGTTTTCCTTCTGAGAGTGAGATTGAAAATAATGTCAGGATACGGTTCTTCACAGCATGAGTAGAACTTTTCATTTCTCGTCGCAGGAACGCGCATTATGTCCCATTCAACAGATATATAGTATTCTGATAAGTCAATTCCCATTCCTATTTTGTCAGAATCTGGCGTCTGTTTTAAATGCCTCAAGTCCACCTGCAATAGAAAATGTAAAAATATATATTTATAACTAGCTTTTGCCCGCGGCTTCACTTGCATTAATGCTCTTAGGGGTGGAATTTATCAAAATCCTTTCTTAGGGGATGCCTACGTCATAGTAGCTTTATGCATGCAAAGTCTCAGCCCGATCGGTTTAAAATTGACAAAATTTCATACAAACCTCCAACCCCTATTTTGTCCCCTTGAGGGTAGAATTAATCAAAATCCTTTCTTAGCGGATGCCTACGTCATAACATCTACCTGCATGCCAAATTTCAGCCCGATCCGTCCAGTGGTTTGGGCTGTGCGTTGATAGATCACTATGTCAGTCACCTTTCAGTTTTATATATATTTAGATTGGAGTCATGACATCTTAGTCCTCCAGAATAACCACGCATGAGTAGTATCACTGGTTTCAAAGGATAATGTGACATGCTTAGTGCAGTTCATGGGTTACCATTACCAATGGATGGTGGATGATCAGCATATTTGTAATTACAATTAAACACATTGTAATAATCATAACTATATAAGAACATTACACGGTTATTGCATAAAACAAATTAATAAAAGTCAAATGTACCTATTTCCGATTGTAGGGTCTTTCCGCTGAAAGGGTTTAACAGGCAGGTGTAGATCTAAAGTGTATTAACACCTTGTTATTCTATGTTATAAATCATAGTCCACTGACTGGCCTTGACCAATAGCAGGAAATTACTGTCCAAAGTTCTATCCATGTTATAGTACTAACAGACTATGTATAATTTATAAGTTTTATTATTCAATGCTATGAAAATTACTATTTTTAAAGAGAATGAAATATTTTTGTCAGAATATTATGTTAAAATAAAAATGATTTTTCGATTCCGTTAAATATAATTAACTATAAAAAGAATTTATGGATATTATATTAATCATTATAAATGAATATATAGGTAATGAAATGATATTTTATAAAGATTTAATAGAAATTCAAGAATTCAATTCTGCAAATTTTTATAACTATAAAAAGTTTTGATACAAATTATGCAGATATTTTATTTATACAATTGTTAAGTTGCAAATAATGTTAACAGTTATTTAATATTGGGTTATTCTTTAATTCGCCTTTATAAAACTGTACATCTAAATCATAAGGTTTAATTTAGTTACAGCTATAGAGCGGCAAGCGCTGATTATAGTAATTAGATTTGTGGTTATATTTTGCCAAAATTGCTAGAAAATTACCTATATAATATATTAGCAGATTCTGCGAACTCACTACACCTCAAAATTACATATGTTAAAGGTTTTTTTGAAATGCAGTTACGCACTAAATTTCTGAACGCAGCTTGTTTGACAGATATCAGCAGTTTGTATGGAAAAATAATATTGTTGTTTTTACTATTTTACATGCAATTTCTTCATATTTTATTAACCATTTAAACCATCCCTAGACTTATACATCACGAATATTTCCTGGACTAAAATTAGGCAAATCGGTTCAGCCGTTCTCGAGTTTTAGCGAGACTAACGAACAGCAATTAATTTTTATATATATAGATTCAGAATTTGCAGTAACAACTATTACAACTTCATTAATGAATTTCAATAGTGACGTCGCTTTATAGTAAGATGTTGCTATTTCGATCGACGAATCGAAACGAACGATCAAGGCGTGAATAGTTAAGTTTACGGATCCCAAGTGAACCTTAACGTAAACGATTTAAGGTGCAGAGTAAAGCCGCATCTTTATTTACGTGGTAAGAACCATACTGATTTATTAGCTTCGTAGCATCGATGTATCGTTGTGTCTTCCTCAGAGCCTATTGCTGAAGACTGCTTGCGAAACTTTTTATCACTCCCGTCTATTGCTCGAATATCTCATTGTCCATATTATTTATTGCGACCCGAAATATTTCACTTGGTAGATATTGGAAAAGGGCTTTTGTAATGCGGAATTTCGATTACATTCTGCCTTTAAGCGTTCTCTACAATAATATTTATGTTAGAATTGTTATTTGTGGAAATGTGCGCAATTAAAAAAATGAGATGTGATTTTATTATTTAGTTATTCCACTTTTAAACATAAAATTTTATTGCTGTTATATGTACATATTTTTTTTATAGTATAGGGGACAAGCCAGCTTGCTACTCAAGTCATTCAGTGATTGTTGCAGTTGCTTACTTCTTTCAAAAGAAACTGAAAAGTATTTTTTTTTAAACTAAATGGTTTCAAGACCTTGTTTTAAACTATATATATTACTGGCTCTCCTAGCAGACGTTATTTAGTCATTAAAATTATATCGCTATATATATATATAATAGGGGTTGATGGTAGACGGGTGAAAATATAGGGTTGCATGTGTTGTATTTTTTTGAGATAGACCACTCTTATCATAACGTGTATAAAAAAAACCTATTTTCAGATCCACAGATTATACATTTGAAATTTCATCAAAATTGGTTTCATAGTACAGCATTCCATTGCGGACAAACAACATGCGCTATTTTATTATATCAAGACAAAATAATGTGAAGTTGAAGTTGAAGGCGAAGTTGCTTAGCATTCCATAAATTAAATTCTATACATTCTATAAAAAAAAAGTTCTTTAATATTCTATTAAAGAATTTTTTACTAATTCTTTAAAGTTTTATAAATTGACTCACCGTGTACCCATCGTAGCTCCAAGATCCGAATTTCATGAAACAGGTTTGCTCATCGAAAGGGAAGTACTCCACGTCAATCTCGCAGAAGGACTTGTAGATGGCTGGTGGCTTCCAAACAACCTTCCCATCATGATGTAGAATCGCTTTTGTCATGATTGTCACCTCGTAGTTACCGTCCGCGCTGTGGATGATTAACTGTGTTAATTGGTTTGAAAATATTTCTTTTTAAATAAATAAATTACTCTGAACAATTAACATAGCGCCATCTTTTCCGATGGTAAGCAGAGCTTGAGTTATTCGTACTATACAACTGATAATAAATAGTTACATATTTTTTTGTAAATACATTCATAACATACATAGAAAACACCCATGATTGACATGATTGTTTGTATCGTTTCGAACTGTTTTCACCGTGCGAAGACTCAAACCCGCGATAATCTGAAGTAAAGTGATGTGCTAAACCGCTAGACCATATGGGCCGTTTTTATCTTCGTTTTTATCAGTTTTCGTTGCCATACTCCTCCGAAACGGCTTGACCGATTCTCATGAAATTTTGTGAGCGTATTGAGTAGGTCTGAGAATCGGCCAACATCTATTTTTCATCCCCCTAAATGTTAGGTGTAGTCCACCCCTAAATTTTTTTAATTATTTTCAGGTAAAACAACGTTTGCCGGGGCAGTAGTGTTATGTTATTAGGTATGGTATACAGATTCTTCTGCCAGGTACCCACGTACCTCAATTTCATCTATTGTTACCTCCAAGTAGCTAGCTTTGTAAAGAAGTTCACATATGTTAGTGAAACAACAGAGAATTAGAGATAGTTTTCCAGGTTCGCTATTAGTCTCTTTATGTTAATATACATACGTGTAGGTACTAGTTTAGCACATAGCACACTGATTAGCACTCTGCCTAACTTCTGATGGTCATGGGATCAATTCCTCGCACGGTACTACTATTTGTTATTTACATAAGTATGATTATTCGTGTTGATCTGGATGTTTTCTCTGTATATTATGTATGTATTTCTAAAAAAAAGTATATAAGTATTTGTATCCGTTGTTTAGCTTATCTCTGCTTAGCTTGGGACTAGATGGCGCTGAGTGAATCGTTAATATTTTATATAATATGTCCTATTGTTATACATAAAAATTGGACATATAAGGAAGTACGACATACTCAAAATAAGACTCTCTAAATAAGGTTCAAAAATAAATCATTAACAATAACGCAATATAATAATTACTTTCTGAGCCTTTTTTATAGAATAATAAATGTTATTCTATTATTCTATAAAAAAGGCTCAGATATAGAATAGAAAATTATTTATTGTCAAAAAAATAGTATATATAATCTACCGTATTTGTATCACGAAGAACAAGCAAGAAAATTGTTTAGCTTATCTTACTTACAATTTAAGTTTAGTGTGTGGACTAGATGGCGCTGAGTGAATCGTTAATATTTCATATATTGTTAATATTTTATACAATATATCCTATTATTATACATAAAAATAGGACATATAAAAAAGAACAATATACTCAAAATAAGACTCTCTAAATAAGGTTAAAAAATAAATCGTTAACAATAACGCAATATAATACACCGACATACCTCAGTCTTGCAAAATTTCGACGTTGACGCTTGTAAAAGCTTTGTCATAACCAACTTTTGCTCATTCATGAAAATTGTCTCGCAAAACAGGTCACGTTCGCTTCCATTAAGCTAACGTGGTGCCATTAAAAATAAAGTTAACACCAAATATTCGAGGAGCTTTTAAGGAAGCAGCAGGTGCACGGAGTGTAACCTGTATCTGTTTAAATTTAAAAATATTACTGCCATGTCCATGGATATTACGGCACTAAGAGGGTAGTTTGAGCTTGTGTCGGGTGTATACAGAAATTTTAGGTGACATTTTCATATAGGTACTTGTTCTCTTCTGGTAAAATTATTATTCATTCTAGACTTTATTATTGCTTACTGTCCAAATATATTACTTGTTAAGGTTAAATAATATTTATTTATTATTTATATTTATATATCACCTGAATTATACATACATATATTATCTACATCTTATTAATTTGTTATTTTTTAATAAATAATTAAACCGGATATCATAAATTAGATTAAAAATTCACTGAACATGAACATAGAGAAATCTATTTTTTTGTGATAGTATTATGTTATAGTATATTAGTAATATATATTTAGTAGCAGCCCGAAATAAATAAATATACTTATATTGTTGTTTTAATTACGCTGTTTTACGTGTGATTATAATTTGTATATAACAGCATTAAATCACGTTTCTAAATTAAGGAGAGCTTGTTGAAGGAGATACTGCTACTATGAACTACAAGTGGTGTTAATTTGTTCTTTTTGCTCTTTATAATCGAATCGATAATATTTCTTTTAAATTAAAATAAATTATACTTATTTATTTACATTTTTGAAAATGAATTTCTCGTTCTGTTTTACACAAGATTTCATTTTATAACTAGTAGAAGTACGAGTAAATGACGAGGAAGACAAAGTTTCTATTTCAAAACACTTCAAACAATTACTTCACAATAATTATACCTTACACGACTCATTGGTACATTAGTTATCAAATCTACCGTAATTTCAACTCAGTGGAAGACAAAGGTAACGGCCGATATTTCAGCCTATTGACCAACTCTATTGTTACTTCATATTTCTACCTTTAATGTAAAATGTTTATCACGGCGTGGTAATGTGATAGTATTTAGATTAAAGACGGCACTTATCTGCCTCTCTTCCGCCTGGCCAACTCCCGGCGCATCTCGGCTCTACTTAGATAGAGTTACCATTCGAATATCAGCCATATTTCAAAAGGGGTAAGCTCTAAAAGCCATCTATGTGTGGTTTGTGGCGTTAATGCACAAAGTGCGGTGGGCTGTCGCTGATAATGGCCGATGTTGTGAGTACCTACGCGTCGTTTTGAAATGGTGTTGTTGACGCTATTTATGTACTCAGAGAGCTTTTTAACCGATTCTCAATTCGAATGTATTTTTTTATGTTTCAGAACCTTTTGTATGTAAACGGATTTTTTTTTATAAAAAGATACTTCCCGAATTATTTTTATGTACTGAGTACATAAAAAAGCTGCTTTTTTAACTGAGACTTCCGAAAAGTCCAATCGAATATATTTTTTAGGTGTTACCTCAGAACTTTTTTGAAGGTAACCGATTTTTTTTAAAAGATTTTTTTCCGAATTTTTCAATTTATTTTATTAAGATCAGATCATAACTTAACCTGCACCTTATTCTGCCTTTCTATGTGTTACCTAAGAATATTTTTGTACGTAAACCGACTTTTTAAAAAGAAAATCTCTTCCCTAGTGATTGCAAATTATTTCACTAAGAAGATCGTTTAATCTGTAGCTAATTTCGTTATTCTCTAAAAGAGTATTCTACCTTTATTATTATTTATATCTATATTATACATCATGCTTGTATGTACGTTTATTCTCCAACCAAAGGTTTTCTTCTGGAAGAGGTTGCTTGAGTGAACCCGCCTTTTGTGCATCAAACTTTTGTAGGTTTAATTCTTGTATTCTTAAAAACTTTATAAATTAAAGTTTAGTCAAAATTCTAATTCTCGGTTAATAATACAAGTTCGTACTTATATTTTTTTCTAAATACAAATAAGTATTTAGAATAGTGTTATTTTATATATAGTAATCTTCAACAATAAAAAAAAACTAAATAGTCAGATCTCGTAATTCGTCTGTATGTACCATATAATAGTAGTAAAACCAGAAGTAAAAACCCTGCATTCTGGTTATAAAAATGCTTTCCTCTTTCATAGAAACGCGGTGTGGTACGTAACGCCCATCGATTTATTGTCTTGAACCACTGCCAGCGGAGTAATGACTGTACCTAATGTAGATTTATATGGATTGAATGCCGTACTATTCATATTTCATCATGCATATATAAAAATACATCTTCGCGACATTTTACGACGATTTTTCTTGCAGACTTTGTATAAAGTCATCTATCATCTACATATATATATACATCACCTATTTCGCCCACTAAGTAGTTTTCTAAGGTAGCTATGTCTGAAGAGTGAGATTTCATGGTTAATGTAATGTTATTTCGTTTCGAGTTATTTTGGTTGGACTATGATTAGTAATCTGTTTAAATGACATTATTATTATTATTAACGGAGACTAGTGACCTTTTTGCTATAAGAGAGCCAATTCAGATTCATTTGCACGTGATCCCTTCTGTATTATTGATACATGTGGGTGTACATATATTATCTACTAAAAGAATGATATTTTTGCTAGCAAAATGTACAGGATAAACTATATTTAAATTTAGTACTAATTCAGTTAGAATTAATTCTGTTTGTTAACAAAAATATAATAATTACAATTTATTGAAATTAATAGTTGTAAATGACTTGTAAACATTAATTATCCGTTTATTGGACAAAAGTTTTTGAAGTTTGAAATACCCAGATAATAGATTCACTCGAGTAGTACCACGTGTTAGATCCAGTCTATCATAGAATACTTGAAACGTGGTTACCAAAAGACACTTCAAATCTTACAACGTATTCAACTATTGAGATAAATAAGGTAATGAAGAAATTAATAAAAATTAACTAAAAACTTACACTCTTTTTTAGTATTCGTATAATACAATAGTACATTATTCAAACGCTAAATTAAACTGCATGTCTTTCAAACTAAAAACCTAAAGAGCGTAACTTGTAACTAGTCTAACTTAAATTTTTGTACGCGGTTAAAGTTCCCGAGATAAACTCGCCGACTCGTCATGATAATGCAGAATAATGGGATAACTCCAAGGAAATAAGAAGATAAGACCACCACCTAATAGAAGAAGAGTTTATGGCTGTTTGCAAAGAAAAGTTACATTGAAAGAAACGTGGATAGTGTGGGGACATTGGGGTACGGGGAACTGTGAACTTTCTTAAATTGATTCAATAGTAAACACGGTTTGAGTGAGAGTAATGTCAGGGGTGCACGACTGAGAGTTACGAATGCCTTTTTCAACTATTTCCCTTAGTCACTGAAACGTAAAATTGTACTATTGAATAATTGGACAGTTTTAATGATGGTTCCAAGAATAAGGCTCTAACTTCGAATAGAATAGAACTTTATTACTATCTGTGTGGGTATATTGATTTGTAGTTTGTATTACAAGAAAGTTATAAAGTTATGTATCAACAGTTAAACACTATGGGACATGTAACAGATGACAACAGATGAGATTTAAGATGTTGAATATATTATTATTGATTTAAAACTTTATGTGTCCTTTAATTAGGTATTAAAGATAATTTTTCATCTTTATTATTGTTAAGATTCTTAGACTCGTTATGTTATGCAATTCTACAACACTTATACTAATAATAATATCTTAGGACAATTCACTTAGCGCCATCTACTCCCAAGCTAAGCAGAGCTTGTGTTATTAGTATTAGACAACTGATGTAAATACATAGAGACATTTTCCCTAAATACATACATAATATATATAAAAAATAGTTAGACTAATACTAACAATCATATTATGAATGTTAGCATAGTGTGGAAAATCGAAAATCGAACCCGCGATCATTGGAGGCATAAGGTGGTGTGTTAAGCCGCTAGAGCACCGAGGCAACAATAAAGTCACGTCTGTAACTTACTTGTTATAAAGCACGATGTCAGGGAGCCATATGTGTTCTGAAGGCACGTGCAATGTGTCGACGCCGCCGTAGTCATCGGGATTCCATTTTAATTTGTAGTCGTTCCATTCCTGCACAGAAAATATATGATTATAGTATTGAAAATGTTAACAATAAAGCACAATTTGCTACAGCAGACTGTCTTGTAATTGACTGAGAATATAGTTTTGAGAACAAGTTTTGTTTTACGTACGCACACGTTGCTAATTTATTAAGCTATTATTTCTTGAAAAGTTTTCCTGCCGTATAAATTCTATGCGTTTGATACTTAGAAACTTTTTCAGGTATCGTCTGGCTGAACAAGTCCTATCTTACTAATTTATATAGTATTTTTTTTTTTTAAGATTTGTTGTCGTATAAATTTGTGGCGAATTTATTTACACCGCGCAGCAACACTGTCGCCTAGTGACTGTCTACCATAGTAAAATAACCTAGCCAATTATTCGTGACATTCGGTCACGTTTACTCTTATTATATATCTCTCTCTCTTATTATATACATATCGTATTAATAAATACTTCTATAATTTAAATATGTACTCGTTGATAGCCACAAGAGAGTCTCAGAGATAAAAGATTTGGGAGTAACTTTTACAGCTGAGTTGTCTTTTGATACGTGTAAAACAGCTTACAGGATGTTAGGATTCATACTATGTTAAGAATATTTCAAGTATAACTGTAATATTCGCATTGTACAACACATTAGTATGGAGCCCTCTTGAGTGCAACGCTGTAATCTGGGATCCATATGACGTAAAATATAGACTAATGTTGGAAACATTTCAAAATAAATAAATTAGGTATATATATATACTAGTATATATACTAGTATATATGAGGCAATATGTGGTATATCTCTTGTATCCTTTGATGTATCCCACTCTGTTCATATTGGGCATGGTGGGATATAACGATATACGAGTACGCAGGGAATTGGCTATTGTCTCATACATATTTAAAATTTTTCGTGGTCAAATCAGTACAGTACTTATAAATAGTGTGCCGTAATTAAAGTAAGAAGGTACTAATAGGTATAGCAGATATAGTCCTTATATACTATATCTGCTACAGGGTTTTATATAAAATACATACATAAAACTTAAATGAACCTAGTTGGTAATACTTTCTTTTAAAATACATTTTAAGTTTCCAATACGGTCATTTTCGTATATACGAGTAGGTACGTATCTACTGAAGTGAGTTTTGCACTCGGACCTTTGGTCCGCGGCGGAAATTGCGGCACCTTATTGGAATCCGGACTATTCCGGACAGACATAGATTGGAACTGCGACAGAGTGCGCCACACCCATAGCTTCTGGAAAATAGTGAATTGATTTACGAAACTGGCTGTTGGACTACTTAAATATTGAATTTTGTTTTGTTTGTAAAATATTAAACTGTGCTGACGTACTTTATTACAAAGAACTGCCTATATTTATTTATATTTTATTTTACATTTTAACAGGTATTCTATTTTGGGAGAAAAAAATAATTCAATGTAAATGATATGGTATGCCAAAGATGTAAACTATGTAATAAATATATCATATAGTAATGCAACATATATGAAGAAAAAGTTCTGTATTTATGTATATTGTATTAGTCTATGTGGGCGATAGAACGAATGAACTGTGTGATGTAAATCAAACAATGCATAGAAAATGATAATTACTTATAATGAAGGTACAGACAGTAGCAAGGCAAAAGTGACAATAAAAAATATGACAAATCTATAAACGAAGGAAAATACTAGAAAACACATGTGCAAAGAGCTTGCAACAAGTTTATATTAATAATATCGCCGTATCAATATTACTTTGACTGTTTAACTTGCTTTGACTTCCACGATACAGGTATATCCTAGTGTGGAATCATAGATAAATTGTTAAAATTAATTTAAGTTTTCCGAAGTAAAAGTTATTCTTATAATAATAATATAAACTTTACATAAATGTGCCAAACAAAAGGGGGTCTTATCGCTTAAAGCAATCCCTTACATAGTCTAAGGACTCGAGAACCCTTGGATAAAGAATAAAATAAAAATCTTTCTGTAGATCAAATAAATATTTTAGTTATGAATCATGGTATGATTGTACTATTAATGTTAGACATTAGCCCTGCACATCGTAGGTACATAGACACTTAGAACTCATGTGTTTTTTTCGTTTAATAAGAACTTGACATTTAATTTTTATGAGCACTAGTACCTATCAGGTAAATCGATCGATTAAGATCTCATGTAACTTCGATTATATATACTCTTATATAAACTACCCTCACACAAGTTATAATTCAAAACGCACACTTAGTATAGACACGAGATATAATAAAAAAACAAATTAGATATAAGAACTCAAGTCGTTACAATTAAGAAATCTGTTTACAAATTAACGAAGATCTCGCGTAACATTACAAATAAACAAAATAAAAACGGCAATGTTTTTTGTAGTCACTTGAATGTTAAAACGTTCAATGTTTATTTGGTGAAATTTAAACGGCCCGCGTGGATATTGTATTAATTATTTGTAAGACATTCCCCCGTAGTAATTACACTGTATAATCTTTCCAATCCACGTTTTAAATTATTTTGATCAAAGAAAGTTCGCCGGATCCGCTTACCTAATACAATCATTGTAACATAATTAATAGGTACTTATTACTCTTTGTACGCGGTTGGTAATAGAAGTAGAAAATCTTGTTTATGATAAATACTTACCAGTGTATATAATTTTGATAAATATATATTCTGTATGACTGTAAGAATAAACTAAATAAAAAAATAAAAATGCTTGACATTGATAATGTTAATTTATTTTAGAAAAGATAAATTATTTCTAATAATTAAAAATGAAGGTAATTAGGGTAAAAGATAATAACAAATCAAATCAAATCAAAACATGATTATTTTCATGATATTATTTTAAGAAAACATAATAAATAATGTAACTTACATAAATTGTGATATTGGTTCAAACACAAATAATAATAAAATCAACTAAACACAAATTACTTAAAACCCTGCTATCACTGATCGTAAAATAATCTATATTATGTAGAAATTATTTTGCCATACATGCCATACAGCTCTGTTTTGTTAAAAAATTAAAAAAATAGCTACATTCTAACGTCTTGTTGGATTTTCTTCTAAACAAGTTGTCCTTTCTTGCAGCGTGGTGTTCTCAATTTGAATATAGTTAATATTAAAAAAAAAGAAATAAGCAAATAAAATATCTGTAAATACGAATTTGAAATGAGAACTTCATACTAATTTATGTTTAAATTATTTAAATTTGGAATTCGATTTTCGACTTGGAATTTGAATATCAACACAAAATGTAATTCCAGAAAGACAGTGAATTAAGTTCATTGGTAACTATGTAATTATTCTAACATTTTACGAATGGCATAAAAAGCCAAGAATTTCTTCAATATGTATAAATCTTTAAAATGTGACTCAATCATTATTTTGGCGAGCTTGTGTAGCTACGTAAGGCGAAATTACAGTTCCAAAACTCAATTTAAATTCGTCTGCGCTGTCTTAATTCAAAGCTTTCCTTGTGTATAGGTTTTATTATAGCTAAATGTTTAATTGAATTACTTATATGGAATGCGAGCGAAGGAGCCTTTGTTGTGAATTTTGTTTATACATAATTATATTAACATGTTCTGAGAACTTATTCATGTTAATATAATTATTTTATATTAGACGTCACAAAAATATTAGCGTATTAAAACTTCAGTACTTAGTAATATAATATTCCGTAGTAATAATAATTTTCCGCGACTTCGCCTGCTGTTTACTATATATTCGTCATCATCATATAATGTAATAATAACCTATTCACACAGAGCCATCTAGTCTCAAGCTAAGCAGAGCTTGTTTAATTGGTATTAGACAACTACATACATAATATATATATAGAAAACATCCAGACTAATACAATTCAATACATAATACATGGAAAACACCCAGACAAAAAATCATACCCAATAATAAAAAATATTTGCACCATGCGGGGAATCGAACTATCAGAAGTAAAGCAGTATACTGTACGGCTAGATCCAGTGTTCTTATGATAAAATTAATAAGAAATGTTTATAATATGATAATAATTTAATTTACTATCAGAGAATTATTATTAATAAAGAAATTTGAAATAAAATATTTTAATCGCTAATTCTATTTATTTAGTAGCAACAACATTTGAAAGCAGGTACCACCATATACGTGTATGATAATAATTCAAATCATTTTCTGTTAACAAACGCGTCCTCTATATTTGAGTAAATAAAACTATTTCTGGATTTTTTCACGATTGGCAGACCGTTTCGTTTTAGAGGACGAACGAGCCGCCGGCTTTCAGGAAACGACGACGAGGCCAAGTGCGGTCAAAAGGTAACTCTAGCTGCTCGTCCCGACTTCCCGAGTTATGTTAAATGCACTTAATTCTAATATAAGGAAAAGACACCGCCGTTTTTTGTTCGAAAATTACGAAGCGTTTCATTTCGGCCGTTTCGGTTCTCGATTGCGCAGTGATTGTGAAATGTGTGATTCGAATTTCGAACGCTTGGATGCACGCATTACTTTTTATATTACGCTTATATTTATATTTCGAATTCATCAGTCATTTTAAAATTTGCCTTCATACCATATTTACTGCTTATATTTCGGAAATTTAAATTTCGAATTCCATCAGTCATTTCGAAATTTACCTACATATCATATTTAACATTTATATTTTGGAAATTTAAATTTCGAATTCCATCAGTCATTTTGAAATTTATCTACATATCATATTTACCACTTATATTTCGGAATTGTAAAACATGTTATCTGTATATTATATGTGGTCTTAATATAAATATACACACCTAGGTAATCGTCAAACTGTCGTTGAATTACGAAGTCAAAGTTTGCTACCTTTATTTAACGAACAATTATGAAATAAGGCGTATTGGAAATACAAAATGATATAGCTAATTTTTCATTACTACCAATTCGTCTTTCGAAGTTATGCGGGCAGAATCGCGGACAGATGCTTGTAAACTTATATTTTTTTCGTAGTTCTATA